GGGGTTGATGCCTTGCATGAGTTTTTGTGGGGTACACGTGACGTAACCGCTAGGGTCGTAACACTAAGTGGTTGGTGGGGTATGTTTTCCTCTCTGACTTCTATGACCGAGCCAGCCTCCGATTCTAACTCTTGCTCGCTTGAAGAGACAAATTCCACCCCGACAGGCGTATAACGAGTCGCCCCTTCTGGTATGGACTCTTTACCAGCTAGAGTCTCTCCAAGAGTCATGAAACGTTTGTTAGGGTTCGGCACCGCCTTCCTCTTCTTCCCTCTTTTCAGCTGAGCCAATTCTTCCTCTAGGCTGGCAATCCTCAGAGTATGCGCCGCTACTGTCTGCTGGTGAGCTTCAAAGCCCTTGGCTATTACGTTGTATCGTCTCCGTGTCTTTGGTGTTTTGTTCAGCCCAAGGTGACGAATTTGACGGCTCGTCTGTGGCGTATCGTCCGAGCCAAGATATGGCCTGGGCTCAGGAGTCACTCTTGGGCTGCCATTTGGCCTATCTTGTTGGATTTCTGGGTGCCGTAACGCTTTCGCACGTGAAATTGGCCAGTTTCCAGTGACCCTCCAGCCAGACAGTATGTTCTTCTTGGTCATTCCAGCTCGGCGAGCCTTGGCGTAGGCCCTGATGAAATTGACCTTGTCCATTGGAGCGGAATCAGTCAACGAAGCGAACTTTTCCAACTCTCGTCGATATGCAGCCTTCGACGCATTAAATACTCCATTGTCCAGTGGCTGGAGTCCATGAGAGCAGTGTGCTGGTAGATAGCAGCAATAAACGTTGTTCAAAAAGCAGGTGGCCATCCATTCATCCTTCCATCACTCAGCACTGATCTTAAGGTGGGGAAAATAGAGAACATACTGTTGCATGGCTTCCATGACCATCTAAAATGATCAGTCTCGCGTCAGAGTCGTCGGCAGGCGTAGTCTGGGGCAGATAGACTCTTTCAAGCCATTCAATACCTATGTGGTCATCAGTCCACCCGTTGGGTGATGTTATATAATACCAGTCTGCTATCTGCTTGAACTCATCAAGAAACCACTGTTTCTGCAGTTATTTCCCTTTGAATATTATGCCAGGAGTCAAAGCGCGGCCGTCGGCAGTGATAGCTTCGATGAATGAAGTCCAATTCCGAGTTTGTGGTCCCTGACAATTATTGTTTGCGTCGACAGCCTGACAATTATTGTTTGCGTCGACAGCCTAAGTACTACAGTCCGCCTGTTGTTCTGGCTGAACATTCACTGCGGGGTTCGCGAGCGGGCGATCGGATTGGGTCGACGGCCACGTGCACGGGCCATTGATCCAGGACAACTTTCCTCCAGGACAGCCAAGTTGATTGGCCCAAAATTAAGCCTCGTGACATCTTAGGTAATTACTAATCGTGCTTATCTTATCACTGTGTTGGCGGGGTAGCATGAAACCGTTGGCTGTACGAGATGAAATAACAAGGGTTGGTCAGCCTCGGACGTCTCCTCAAGTATCTGTCCACGGATTAATAAAGTTCCGCTTCCATGCCATATACGTTAGTCTTTTTACAGGCCTTATTTGAAATCTTTACATTTCACTTTTATCTTTGAATGCCATACCCCAACTGTCGCTTGCATTTACCAGAGCGTTCTTCCATCACAACCTTGTTTTCAATCCACCATGATTTCCAAGGAAGAGAAATTCGCTTGCGAAAGCTGCATCCGTGGCCATCGTGTTGCTCAATGTCAGCATACAGGTGAGTATGACATCTTTAATTAATCTGGATGGTAGAACCACCTACTGTACGCTGCCGTAGCTGACGTCAAGACGTGTAATGAGACCGCCCACTTCTACGGGTCAGTAGAAAGGGCCGCCCAATATCGCAATGCACTCACTGCCGCTCCCTGCGCGCCTCGCGATCTGTTCACACGAAGTGCAAATGCGCATCAACATCGCACCAGGTCATGTTGAAGCAATTCGGAAGAGGTTCGACCCTACCCTTAACCCTACCCAACTATCTGCAAGTGGCGCCCATTAACACCTCTTTGTGTATAGAACGATGCGCCTGTTCAGAGGGCGGCGCATGCAAATGTGCATACAAGAGTGATCGAGGAGCTACAAACGACATTCTCTCAGTACCATCCAGACGCGAAAGCTCTACACCATCTACAGCCTTATCTCCTCCCGGATTCGAGCCTAAACCTTTAGAACTTGCTCCCCTCCCGCTTCGATCAACCTCTACCGAGAGACTGGCGCCAGCTCACTGTAGCGCCGAAAGCGCCGGCTCAATTTTGGGATCGAGTCTTCCGAGCGTGAACAACTGGCCCTTAGACGATATCCCTATCGCATGGACGACTCCATTAGAGAGTTACTTGCCTGATTCTGTGCTTTCTGATATACATGATCCGACAGGAACTGGGGATTCAGTTCCAAATATGGGCGCAATCGAGCAAGCTCAGATGAGTAGGCCGACGTTCGATGATCCGTTATCGACCGTAGATATTCTTGGCCTGGGCGATCTCTTCATTGAACCCGATGCTGGTCAAATGCTTTCGTTGGATAATTCGAATCTGTTAGACTTTCAAACGATGACCTGTTACGATCATGGACAGTGGTTCGATAACTATGACTTTATGAATTCCTGATGTTCTTCGCTGATTAGTCTAGTCCAATCCAGAGGCTATGATCACATTCTGAAATAACTAGTGTATCACGAGATAGAAGGCGCGACAGGTTCAGTAGCTTAAATCAATATCAAGTCGTTGAGTCTCTACTGCTAATCACTAAGAAATTAGCTACACTACCATTTCAATATTGCCCTCTGACTTCAATTCTCTGTCACCTGTAATAACCTTGCCAGACCCCGAGGTCGCATGTCAAATGGCTTCGAAT